CCGGAAGCCCTCCTTCCAGGAAACGACGAGGCCGAGAGTGAGTCGCCAGTCCGAAGACCGGCACTCCAGCGGCTTTCTTCTCAAAGCTAAGTGTTTCACCTCTGCAGTTTTGAGGCTGCAAAGGGTGGAGACCTGCTGCTTATGATGCCCTCAGGCCATCTTTTCGAATCTCTTGTTCCTTCTCAGCAATGAAGATCTCCGCAGTCTTATCTTTGCAGTCCACAGCTTTACTGGAGCTTCCTTTCTGGCCAAACTCACAACATTTTAAATTATCCTGCTGGGCTCTTTGCTCTTGATTCTCAATATAAATCTAGCTAAATAGCCATGCCGTTGCCTTAACATTCGACTGCCTTGAAATTTCTTTTGCCAGATTAATAAGTCCACCGCCCGTAATCTCAGTCTCAGGCAGTCTCTGGACATGAGCAAAATGCAGATAAACTTTCTGCCAAGCCATAACACACATCGTCTGATCTCCAACAACCAATGCAGTCCTTGGCAGCAGAAACCTCCCAAACCTGATCTTTACTGGCAGGATTTCTATCAGCCTTCTGGTTCTCCAAGCTCTGACCAGAAACTCCCATACAGAACAGCCGAAGGTGTTCCACCTCTACTCTTTCAGACGACATGTCCGAACCTTTCCAAATACTTCCCACAAGCCATTTCCAAAGGCTCTTGAACCACATGGTCAGGTATAGTCAAAGCAACGACCCCACTCCTTTGGTACCAAATTCTGTCTTGGTTGCTTTTCTCTTGTTGCTGAGACAAACTACCTGATGACCAGAATTAAGGAACAAAAGGTTTATTTACTTCATAGTCTGTGGATGTTTCAGTCCATACTCGGCTGGCTCCAAGGCAGGGTGGCACAAGGCAGAGGGCAACCATTCATGGGGGAAGACAGCAAAAGCAACAAGAGGAAAAGGGAGGAGCAGCAGCAGCAAGCAGCCTCTTTCCCTCTTGTACAATGTATGCAAACTACCCGCCCCAGGGCAGGTGTAGCACTCACATCCATAATTCCAACATTGGACCACAAATCAATCAATCATAAACTCCAAAAGCCCACTCCATGACTGCATGTGGCTTTGGGGTGATATCCAGACACAAACCATAACAAGAGGGAACTATATAAACTGCTATTTAGTTATCTTAATCTCTCAAAAGATTTCTTCCTTTCTGGCAAGTAAGAAACTAAAACTCCAAACAGTCACAACAAGTCTTTGCTTATCTGGTCCAAACCTGCTAAGCTCCTGTCCCTGCAGATGAAGTGGGTGCTGCTGATAATGCCCAAAGACTTCAAATACAATAGGCTTGGTTTTGATGTAGTCCACAAATGACTCTGTGACCTCCACGGCAATCTGATAAGGAATGAAGCCAGACAAGGTTAGAGAAAGACCTGTTATACACGAGTGCATGTTTTTGCTTTAAGCAGGACTTTAGTACCACTAGGTGTTCAGGATGTCCTGGGAGTTCATCCGTTCCCTGGATCTTTCAGGCCTCTGGCACTGGAAGACAGGGCCCCCTCTGCCGTTCATCCTCAGTAACTCCACCCAGCTCCATTAAGCGGCGCGATTGATCATCTGCCCCAGATGAGGTTGCCCGTTGCCCTTCACCCACTTACTGCTGCAGCTCACACTCACCTGCTGCTGCTCCTCCCCCGTGCCTCCTCTGCGGCATCCTGCCTGGGAGGCCCTTCCTGTACCCCCACACCTAAGTCATTCCTCACTTTTAAGGACAGCTCACGTGCCAAGGGCAAGAAAGGCGCATGCTGACTGTGGACCACCAGCCATGCATAGGGCCAAGTCTGACAGCCTTTCTCACAGATACCCTTCTCCAGAGGGCTCTCCCCCTCTTCTCTGCCTAACTTCCCCATCCAACAAAAAAGGTAACTTTATACATCTCCGCACATGGAAGTAACTTTTCCTTTCTCTCTTCCCACTGCATTTAGTGGGTCCTTAACCCAAGGCCCTCCACGTGAACAACTGCATTTTACTCTCCTCACGTAACGCTAAGCTCCCTGGGGCATCTGTGATCCAGGTCCAAGCCCCAGACTGGACAGCAGCTGGACAGGATTTATCCGACACAAGCGGACTCACAGTGTCCAACCACAAAAAGATGACAGGGCATCTTGGGTTTGACTGCTCTTATCCTAGGAGCTGTCGTTCCCTCTGTTACTTTACAGAGTGGACATGATTTACCAGGTGGTTGAGAGAGGGAGCTTCATAGAGTAGTGAAGATCTGGGTGCTAGAGCCACATCTCTCTGTGATCCCATCTCTGCCCCTTCCCAGCTTTGCAACTGTGGCGACTGACTTTAACTGCTTGGTGCCTCAGTTACCTCAGCTGTAACACAGGGATCCTGAAGATTAAATGGCACAGAAAATACCCAGAACCGGGATGGCAACCAAATCAGTTCTTAATGAATGCAGGCTGTTGTGATGAGGATGGCTTGTGAACATACTTCACGTGTAATTTTATGTAAGAGGCAGGAAGTCTGCCTCCCCACCCCTCGTGGAAAGAAGGTTGTAAGGAGCAATTGTGCATCAGCTACAGGGGAAACAGACTCTGAACCTTCCTTTAGCTACAGATGGGATGTAATTATCGTCTACGTTACTTACAACTAAGCAATGTAAGTATCCTATAGTTTAAAGAGCAATGCATTAACTTTAACAAAACTGACACTAAGCACACTTGTTTTTCTAGGACAGAAGCATGGAAACAACTCACTACATTCAAACGGATGGAAGATTTTATGGCTGGACTAGCTTGCCGGCTCTCACTGAGCCCATTGTGATTCCGCTAAGAGGCTGGCAGCTCCATCCCTGAGGATGACCTCACTGCTCTGGCCACTCCCTCTATTGTCCGTTCTCTCCGTGTCCCCCCCCCCTTGACCCCCCAGGGTGTTACCCGATCAGCTTTCTGCAGCAGATAAAGCCAAGGCACCACAAACCCAAGAGAGTGTTTGGCAAAGAGGTCCAGGTCACTTACATTCTGCACATGGTAAAAGCCCAGGGGACTTCCTCTACCATTGTTTTTGAGGGGTTCAGTGGAGAATGCTTCATCATGGCGATGCAAGAAGCTAATAAAAAGATAAGAGAGGTGAATGATACATCAAATAATTTCCTCAGAAGCTTGCCTTGAGAATCCGAGTTGGATCAACAGTAAGAGCATCCTACTTAGGCAGATTCTTGACTGAGAAGTTATTTGCATTTGCTTCTCAAAAACCTTTTCCCCATCACACAGACATTTTAAATTTCATTTCAAGATAACTGACTGTGATCACTCAGCTATACCGATATATATGCAAGAGTACTTCAAGGGAAGAAGCAAATCCAACAAACTCCTGTTCTTTTGTGTAAGTATTATAAATAAAAACAATGAAATCTTTTTTTTTTTTTTTTTTGCCTTTTTGAGACAGGGTTTCACTATGTAGTTCAGGCTGGCTTCTAACTCACTTTGTAGCCTAGGCTGTCCTCAAATTAGTAGTGATACTCCTGCCTCAGCCTCCCAAGTGCTGGGATTATAGGCGTGTGCCACCACGCCTGGCCTAATGAAATCATTTTGTGCAGAAAAAATTTGTTAGACTCCTCCTCTGCAAGGAAGTCTAAAAGCCTATACATGGTGCACGTGCCTGGCAGCCTGTCTAACACCCAGCCAAGAGCAGATCACAGTGTCTCCCCTTCCAGACAGCTCCCGCCCCTTTGCCATGACGATGTATTTCTGTGCCTGTCTCCCTCCCTGATCCATCAGAAGGAGTCCCGGACTGTGGCAGAGGTGTGCTTAGCGTGTATGAGGGCCTGGGTTCATCCTCAGCAGCAATAAATACATAAACAACATCACTTAAGTAAAAAAGTACAGCACAATACCACTGACTCAGTACGGGAAGAAAACGGGGGAAGAGGAAGGGAAGTACTCTGAATGTGGAAGATGGAGGGCCCGGTGGCACGGACTCCTCTCCTGAATGAGCCCACTGAGTCTGAGAACAGCCACCCCCTGCGGTGCAGCGCCCGAGTTGCTGCTGCTGGGTGTGGCTGGCACTGCCACGGCCTGTGCTTCGGGCACCCCTGTCTGCTCCCTGCTTCTCCTTTCCCTTCACATCTCTCCTTCTCCTCCTACTTCCTTCTTTGCCCCACATTTTCTGTCTCCTGACTACACACCATCCGTGCCACACACACCCGTGGGCACGATCCGCCAGTCAGCGGCACAGAGCCTGTGGTCCTTGGAGAGTCAGGTTCTCTGGGGTGTGGCCACATGGGGGCCTCTTCCCTGCACAGGCCAGCTGGGAGCTGCGCACAGCCCAGGAAGCCCAGTCTTCCTTCCCCAGGATCACAGGCTCTCACTTCAGAGCGAACACGGTCTCAGGGCGTGAGGACAAAGGCCAACACTGCTACCGTCATTTCAGACATCAGTGAACCAAACGGGTGTTAGCTGTCTTTCATAAAATGTCTCCCTCGCCTGATTAGAATAATACCAAAAGCCCTCCCTCCACCTGGCCATGTACCACCTGAATGGAGGCTGTCGTGTAACCAAGCCTGGACAGCTCATTTGTCAATAAAAATCGTGAGCTACAGCAAACAATGTTAGTGGTTTACTATGTAGTAATCACACTCAGCGCGAGACCCAGTTCACCCTACAGGAAAACAACGCTTCAAGAACCGCATGGGACCCCAGGGAGGCAGCGCACATGGAGGGTGAGGGACAGCAGCTGCGGTGGCACCACTGACGCAGGGTGGGCTGCAGGCACAGAGCGGTTGCACTCCGTTCTCCGGTACTGCAGCCCACACCAGCAGAGACAGCGATGGGCGCAGGCACAGAAACTTGAGCGCCACAGGAAGGGATGTGCTAGGGAATTCTTGGGAAGGAGCACTAGAAGCAGGGTTTCAGGGCACCCTGGGGTTGAAAAGGCTGCCGGGCAGACGAGGAATGAAACCACCACATCTTCTCTACACTAGCTTTCCTTAATTGTTGCAGACATTTATTCTTCTCACCACTGTTCAAATTTTCCTTTTCCCAAGTATTAAGTAGGCAAAACTGGCGGCTGGGTGGTCAGCTGCTTTCACCCTTGTCTACCAAACAGCTATTCCAACGTGAAGAGCACCAATCCCTAAGGAGGCCTATCTGGATCGCACCTCAAGTTCCCAGCCAGCCCTCCCACAAGGAGCCCTGTGCTGTCCAGAGCAACTTCCGGCTTGTCCCCCATCTCCAGTGAAGAGAGCATCTCCCTTCAGAGACGGGGAGGCCCTCAGGAGCGTCGCTCTGTCGCTTGTGTAGGGCTCTCAGCAGAGCACAGGGACCAGCTTACTTGAACTGACAGAAGATATCTGCGTACTCCGGGAGGATCCCACTGGCCTGCAGCACTGTCACTCGGAAGGTGAAGGCGCTGCCCAGCTTCAGGTGGTTGCCAATTTCTTCGGAAAACCCTTCCATCACCATCTTACCATCCAGCAAAGTGCCTGCCTTCAAATCTAAAGAGGGACAAGCGAACACACGTACGGTCCAAACAGCGCGGAGAGAAGGGAGCTGGTGTTCCTCCCAGCCCTAGCAGTTAAAGTGACTGTGTCCCGCGACCACGGGCCGTATCTCCCCTTTCTGAAAGGGTCCCCGGTATGGTGAGTTCTGTGTACGTACCCCGGTCATTCATGCGATTGATTTCCTCTGGAGGAGTGATGACCTCAGAACTCTGACCCTGCCCTTCCACAATCCTCAGCTCCTCCAAGGACAGACCAGAACGAGTCATTGCAACCGAAGAAAAGTCACTCTGAAGGCAAGGGAAGGGAGATGTATGATAAAGTAATATAAAAACATATTTTCCACCAGGCGTAGTAGCCTGCAATTCCACACTTGGGAGGCTGAGGCAGAACCATGAGTTCAAGGCCAGTTTGGACTACACAGCTAGACGCTGCCTCAAACACAGTAGCAATCCCCTCCCACACACACACCAAAAAATAATTTCCTTACTTATGTTTATTTGCCCAACAATAACATTGACTGGAAAATTAAGCAGGTTAAGAGCTGTCTAAGAAAAGGTAATACAAGCATAAATCCACGCTGGGTCTGTATGTGCATAACTGTCTGGCATGTCCCACGTGCTACCAAACATCTCCGGGGTTAACAGCGGCCTCTACGTACTTTTTAGGTCTGGGCACGGCAGTAGGCCTCCATGGCTGTATAGTTTCCCCATAGACCCATCTGCCTCGCTGGCTTTTTCTCAAGGTGTCCTTTCATCCCCAAGGCCGCTCACCTGATTAAAGTACTCATTATCAAAAGATATTTTAGCCGTTCCTGACTGTCGAATTCCAGAGCCATAATCCGGAGCTTCTTCATCCGCTAAGAAGTAAAACACCAGCAAGGATAGAGTGAGAACGCACACGGGGGCGAGGGAAGATATACTGGATTATAAAATACCAATGAAGTCCTTTAGCATAAGAATACTTAATACCGAAGTGGTAAAGTGACATAGGCTGCTTCCAACTCTGCGCCTGTCGAGTTACCCGGCTCCTCAGCTCATGTGAGACCAGTGAGTAAAGAACTCATTTTATTCTGGAGATTATTCAAGTGCCATACTTAGACAGACCCTCTCCATCTTGGCAAGATAGTATTCAATAATATACAAGGCATATTTGAAGATATGTTGTACTTGTAGAGAAGATATCTATACACTCAGCATTGGTGACTATGTGATAGGTTTCCATGACAGCAAGGCTGAAGGGTCACTGAACAGTACAGCATTTGGAAGTTAAGACAGGAAAACGCAGGAAATGCCACATTTTTTTCTCCAAATGTCAGCTGGATCATGGAAAAGTGGCAGAAAATATTAGAATTTTGATTCATGCATTACAGAACAGTAGCCAAAGAAATATCTCCTGGGAAAAAATTGGGGCAAGAAAATTCTTCATTGCTTCAGCAGTTAAAACATGGTTATTTAAAATGCCAATGAGTTTTACAATGTCAATCCAAGAGCTGCCCTTCATGTAAAAGGAAATCTCTTTACCTCATTATCCCAAAATAGCAGGAGCCCGGATTAATCAGAATCTATTTACATTACTCGGGGACAATGGCTAGAGAGGAAGCGATAAAAGCCTTTGCAAGCTGGACAAACACCACTGGTTGTATGTGGCCCCAAGAACTGGCTTGCTCTGTCTCTAGGTGGGAGGCCACAGCCCTCACTGGTTTCAGAAGCAGGTCACTTACCTGCAATGGCCTGGACTGCCACACGCAGAAATCCCCGCACCTCGCCCTTCTCGCTGACGATGGCTACCCTGTGGATCAGGGGCACAGGGTACAGCAGATTGCTCAGGTACACAAATGCCCTGGAGACAGAAAGCGAGGGAGAGCCATCAGGGCACCGCATGGGGAGAGGCTGGCTTTCAGCCTGGCCAAGGCTCATCCCAAACTCAACTGGCTTCCCAGCCTGCTCTTAAGATCAGCTCTTGGCCTGTCCTCGCAAACTGCCTGAGCTGCCTCATCTGCACAGACAGGACATGAACACGGTCAAATGCTGGTCACAGCAGTGACAAAGACCAACTCACACCATTTCCTCTCTATCAGAATGTATTGTGGGGACATGAGTAACAACTGGAAGTAGACCTTCGAGACACCACTCTGAATACTGCTGGTGAGGAGAGGAACCCACTGAAGAGCTTAACCTTGAAATGTGAGAAATTACCAAGAATTTTGGTTTTTCCCAAGAGACAATTCAGGAGATTGAAAAACAAGCCAGAGGGCTGGTGTGGTGGTGCACGCCTGTAATTCCAGCACTCACGAGGCTGAGCAGGAGGACTGCTGTCAGTTTGAGACCAGCCTGAACAACACAGTGAGACCTGTCTCAAAACAAACAAAGAACAAAACCAAAAACCAAGGGTGGGGGGACGCAACTGAAATACAGTTACTAACTCTAAAACAGCCTTCCCATCCAATCACGATGGGTCTGTATTTTCCCCAGGACCGTTATCATCAGGGAGGTAAGTGACCAGTGAGGAAAGCAGCTGCTGTGGGCAGAGGCTGTGATTTGGGAGCGTACGGGATGCTCCCAGTGCGCATCAAGCTAAGTACAAAGGGAGGCTGTCCCACGAGGCTGGCTTTCCTCCTACAGTCTAAAACCTAAGTCAGCAACGCATACTGAAAAGGTAACTATAGGTCTAATTTTTGTATTTCAAACTAGCAAAGTTCAATTGCATTTGCTCTCCTGCCCCAGTAATGGGGATTAAACCCAGGGCCTTTGCACTAGGCTATGTCCCCAGCCCTTTTCTAATTTTTACTTTTGAGTCAGCAAGTCTCACTAAGGTGCCAGGCTGCTCCCAAACTTGTGGCCTCCTACCTCAACCTCCCCTCCCAGAGTGCTGGGCTTAAAGGCCTATGCTACCATGAGTGGCTCATATTTTCGGGTTTTTTTTCTTCTTTCACTATTTTGAAGCTATTAATTTTTTAAAGCAATAAAAACTGGTGATCTCAAGGTTTGAGGGGTTTGTTCTAATGAACAGAGAGGAAAGAGAATCTAGTTCCCACTGTTACTCCTGTCTTTTGACTCGGCATATGTTGATCTTTGAACACACGGCAGAGACACAGAGGAAATGCTCGCAACAGGAAATCAAACACAAGTGAACGTGACACACAGCCTGTCTGCTGCTTCTCCTGCTCTGAGGTTTATTTTCAAACAAAGAGAGAAGGAAGGGGTGGACACTTGGGATTTTAACTCAAAACAATGAAAATAGACAAAATAGATTACAGAAAACAAACGTTAGTAAGTTTCAAAAATAGAAATGAAAGATGAAAAGTAAAACAAAAATAACTACAGGTGAACATTAAATCAGATCATGACGTCTTCCCTTTCAGTCTGCTCCAAAGTGGAAGAAGGGCAATGCTAAGAGATGGAGGGTTAAAGCTATGCTGTACATAAACTTAGAAATGAAAGTGTAATCTAAAAGGATTACAAACAAGATCACCATACACATACTACTGTGATACAGTTACATGCCGAAGAATCTGGCCCATCGAACCAAATGGGTAATTTCACCTCCATAATCAGCACACATATGCATACTCTGCTGATTAGAGAGTTTTTATTTTGTTTTTTATTTTGTTTCGTTTTTTGAGACAGTCTTGTATGTAGCCCAGGCTGGCCTTGAACTCACAGCAAGCCCCCAGCCAAGGCCTCCTGAGTGCTGGAATCACAGGCGTGTGTCACCACATCCAGCCATACAGACCACTCCTGCAACAGCACTCCAGCCAGACCTGCCCCCTTTCGATGCCTGGGCTGTTAAGAGCCATCGCTCAAGCCTCCTGCCGCGAGTCCTCACTGCGCTCACTGCCTACCTCACACCTTTGATTTCACAGTGTCAGGCCTTACTCTGAACGCCACTCCTTCATGACAAGTCCCCCCACGCTTACACAATCTGAGCAGCGCACAGAAGGCCTCACCATTGTTGTAATTTACCTGTGTGGTTATTGATTTACTTTGTGTTTGTCACCCACCAGAGAAGTGTGTGCAGGAGAGAGACCAGCTCTGGCTTTGTGCGCCGTCTGCAGGGGGTGCACACGTTCAGTAAATATACTCAGTAAGCACCTGGCAAGTGAACACCTGTGTGCACAGGAGAGGACAGTGAGCTGTCCTCTATCTTCAGGCAGAAATAGGAGATTCTGCTGAAGAACGGGTTACACCAGAAGCAGAGAGCAAAGCCGTCTAACTTTACACTAAGCTGATTTTCCAAAACCAAACTCATGGTGTGCACTAACCATACAATGTTCAGATCCCTAACTCTACTTCATGTGTTACTTTCAACTGCTATTAAAAACAGGAGCCACTGTTCTTTAGCAGAGCTTCTCACAGTCACAGGCAGACTGTGGTAAAGCCTCGCCAGAGCACGCGTTAACGACGAACATTTCCTTTCAGCCTTTGGCGATGATTATTCCACTTGGAAGCAGAAAGACGTCCTGTAGATTTATCTCCCTTCACAGAAAAGAGGTGCTGTAACTCTGCGGCAGGAGCAGGGCATCAGCTCTGTGATACACAGCCACACAGTCACTGGGGAGCTCCTGGTCAAGGTATTATAACACAGTCCTGAGCCCAAATCAACGCTGTATAAAAGTTCTCCTTTGCAGCTTTTTAAAATGGAATTTTTGTAATTACTCAGCATTTTTGAAAGTCCTTATACTGTGACCTAGCAGACTGAAGGAGAACAGGGATAGAGAGGGGAGAAGATGTAAAGGCTGTATTAGCAGAGAGTTCTGTGAAGTTACATCAAAAGGAGAAACAAATTTGTCAACATAAAGGTAAGAAAAATGAGCATAACTACAGTGACAGAAAGAATGTCAGCCGAGGTATTTATCGGGGTCCCACAATAATCACTTTGCCCCCAGAAGACTCATTCCATGTCATGTTATGATGGATCATAACATCCCGGCATGCCGGGAAGAGAACAGCTAAAGGGACAAGCTCTTTTGATCTCAATATAAAGATTAGCCAGAGGCAGCCACAGCCAAGAAACAAACTTACAAAAGGAATTTCCTAAGAAGCATGGGAATTTTCACAAGTAAATTGCATTTGCAATTCTGTCCCAATAGGAGAAACCCAAGCCTGTAAATCACACACGAAGGAAAAAAGTCACTCCCCTTCTACACCCAGTGACTGCTACACCAGTGGGCGGTGCACTGCTATACAGAAAGGCAGCTGAGGGGGTGGTGACGCTCTCCTCCGCTCTACTGACTGCTCTGTTTCATTTCCCCAGGCTTTTCTTCTTTTTTGTTGGTGCTGGAGATTGAACCTGAAGCCTTAAGCATACTAAACACAGCTCTACCACTGAGCTACGTCCCCAGGCCCCCAGACTCCAGTCTCTTGCAAGGTAAGGGAAGTTCTAGCATCTGGGAACCCAAACGATTGAAAAGATCCATTTGTGAGCCATAGCTCCATAAATATTTTATGTAAAAGTCAAATTAGATGTAATTACTTTATACCTACACATGTATCAGATATGACAAAAAGGAATAAAAGTAGAGTGAGAAATAATACATGTATCTTAACCCAGCCCATCTCCACATTAAGGTTCTGACTTCAGTTTTCCATACCATTTACTCAAAACCACAAAATGCTCCTGAGTAGAAGGCTCAGCCAGGATATTCACTTTGCTAGTGTGCACAGACCGTGAAAGGTGGAAAAGATACTTAAGCCTCTTCTATCCTATGCGGGAGAATCCAATAGGTCTCAATTTAAATTGCTTGTCCTAAGTTAGCGACAGAGACTTCCCTGGACCCAAGGCTTCTCCTAACAACTGGGTCAGGGTTCTCATGCTGCAATGGGGTACAACACAGCAGCTTTGGAAGCTGGGTGACTGGCCCTGGGACAGAGTTTACTAGGTTCTAACTTGCAGACGTCGGAGAATACAATGGAAATGTACTGCAGGATACAGATACCCGTAAGTCTTGAAGACTTGCTGTTGCATTCTCCGTATACACTGTCCTCAATCTTAAACCATTCAGATTATCTGAAATTCTAAGCATCTAGTCCTGGTGATATGCCAGTAGAAAACAATATTCATAGCTGTCTGATCTTCTTGTATCTATCACGGAGATACTGAATTCTAAACATCCTTTCACTACTGTGAAACCCAGAAACTGTCTCACATGACTCAAAGTTAAAACTGAGTTTATTTGTATCAAAAAATTTTCTTTCTTTCTCCCCATGATCTTCACTATTAGGTATGAAGCTGCCATGACACAGTCATGACACGTCATGAGCTAAAGTTTGGAAACCAGGTCTCAATAGGATCAGGAGACTCACTGTACTTTCATTTTTAGGTAACTAGTCTTAAACATTTAACAGTGATGTAATTCCCTTATTTTATTTATCTAGGTTTTGTGAGACAGGGTGTTGTTATGTAGTTCAGGTTGGCCTTGCATTTTTGGCAATCCTCCTGCCTCAGCTTCCTAAGTGCTGGGATTACAGGGATACACTATCATGCCTAGCTATAATTCCCTTATTTTTAAAGAGTTCAACAATATGTGGTTCCAATCCACAATTAAATTATCTTTTTTTTTTTTTTTGGTATTGTGGATTAAACCCAACGCTTTCCTTTTTTTTTTGGTACTGGGAATTGAACTCATGACCTCAAGCTTACCAGGCAGGCAAACCCAAGGCTTTCACACTGAACTACATCCCCAGCCCTTTCTAAAATTTTGAGACAGTCTCATTAAGTTACTGAAGTATCTTACCTGGGCTTGAACTTTCAATCTCCCAAGCATACTGGGATTGCACATGTGTGCCAAGATACCTGGCTTAAATTTTATACTTTAAAACCTGGACATAATCTTTGTGAGTTGGTGAGTGCTCTGCTGCCATCCTTAGAGTTGGAATTACTTCATGCTGAAGGCTGGGTGTGGCAGAGACACAGGCCTGGAGAGTCCTGCATCACTGACAGCAACCCACAAACAAAGGCCAGAGGCCATGCCTGCTTGGTGAGCTCAAAACAAAGCAGCTTCACGTAGAACAAACTCCTGTTGGTGGTGTCAGTAGATGATTTTCAGAGATTTATCATTATAAAGCCTTCAAGCAAAATTCTGACCAAAGTGAAGAACTACAGATACCCTGGTGGCCATGGACAGAAATACAATCAGTGGGCGGGGGGTGTGTTTGTGTGTATGTGCCAGAGAGACAGAGCAAGAGGGAGGGAGGGAGGGAGAGAGAGATGGGAGCAGGGGTGTGTGTGACAGAGACTTGACTTTCTGATTATTTTCGGAACTTAGTAGGCCAGGCAGAAACTCAATCTACTGCTGGCCCTGGGTCCCTGTAGACCTCAGGTTCCTGCAGCATCACAGACTTTGGGCCTCACTCTGCACTTGCCCCGCTCTTTCCTACTTCCTCCATCACATGCTTTACTAAGGAAGTATCAAGACCACAGTAACACTAGTTGGACCCTTCAGTTCCTTTCTTCTTTGGGCTTCCTCCTTCGAAAGAAAACTACTGGGCAGTTTAGGACCAGGGACCTCCCTGAAGTTCTCACACATGGCTGCCTGCTGCACTCTGACCAGGCCAGCACTCACAGAAAGCCCAGTGCTGGAGATCAGATAGGCAGTCACAGATTAAATTGGCCAAGGTAAGATTATCCCACATGGCACAAAGAGGCATTTAGAGCAAGAGCTGGTCCCTTTTTGCCTTTCTCACAATAACCTCACCAACCTTCCCACTAAAATGAACCAAGGGGACCGGTCGTAAAACGGGTCATGCCCGTCACTGAAGAGATCAGATCCCTCCTCCGTCCCTGCGTCAGAGCCGGTGTCATCCACGAATGCCTCATCATCAAAATCCTCCATCTCATCTTGCTGCTCGTCAGCCAGCTCAGTGATGTCGGAGTCAGCCGTGGAAAAAGTAGGGGAGGGTGTGCGGTCGGCAAGGCGCTCATTCACACAGCCGTGGAAAATGGGGGAGCTAGACACCAGGGAAGACGCCAAGTGACACAGCCAGGGAGAGAGGAAGAGTTGGTTAAACAGGAAGCCAAAGGTGCCAACAGGACAGAACCCACTGGGGAATCAACACAGTAAAAGCAAATAGAAAAGCAAAAGGATAAAATAAGCATAAATCATCTGGATCAGGTGAGAGGGAACAAGGGCAGACTGAAAAAATTCTGTAAGGATGGATCCTTAGAATAAGAAAAGCAAAGGAAATGTGTAAATGGACCATTCTAGGTACGTACTGTGGCTACAAAACTTTAATACTTTTCAGTCCACACAAAAGCTCAGCCAGCATCCAGGCCTCAAAGGAGCCACTCAATATAAAGGTGAAATAAATAAGCCTTTAAATATTTATTCAAATCCTTGTATCATCTTGGAACAGAAAACAAAATGGATGAAATGGCCTATACCAAAGTAGCATGTGCTTTGCTTGGTATTTCTTTTTTTTGGGCAAGGGGGTACCGGGAATCGAACTCAGGACCTCGCACTTGCCAGGCAGGTGCTTGTGCCGCTGAGCTATACCCCCAGCCCTGTGTGCTTTGCTTGGGTAAGACATATTTGGCCAACTCATCTCCTTAAACAATTACTCTCCTATTAGAGCAGAGTGGAAAAGATTTCATTTCTACAAAATACTATTACTTCAGCAACTACTTTTTATCTAGTTCCTTTAAAAACGATCAGAGGATTTTTGTAATTGAAAAACAAGTCCAATTCTGGAATCAGTAGGCTCAAAACTAAAATATCCCTGGCTTTAAATTTTTTTGTTTTGTTTTTTGGTTTTTTTTTCCAGTACCGGGAATCGAACTCACAACCTTGCACTTGCCAGGCAGGTACCTGGCTTTAAATTTCTAACCCTCTAAGAACTTAACTCAATATGGACTCACAGATCCAGTGTTTATTTCCATAAAATGTTGAAAATAACGTATGTACAGAAAAGGCTCAAAAGGATCACTAAGATGTGTACTTTTTACTTCACCCTTGACTTAAAGTGAAATGAACTGCTTTTAAAAAAGTGAGAATAAATCAGGTATGGAAAGATTGCAATTTGGTAAGACACAGTATGATTTTAAACTGTGCAGAATACAGACAATAGTTTTCTTTTTCTTCTCAACCTACTTAACTGTAAAACACTCCATGCATACACTGCGAGTCAAGGAAGACCATCAGACACTTTGGCTGAAAGTTTGAGAATCAAAACAATATGCATACTGAAAATACTGAAGAGAAGTATACCAAATGACACAGAGGTTACGAGTGGATGAGATTTTGTACTTTCCTGTTAACATTCTATACTATCTGCTGAAGTTTTAAACAATTAAAAGTATTCATTTCTTAAAAAGAAGCCAACAAATCACCACATACCTTCCCACAAGTTTGAACCAGTGGAACCGATCATAGAAGGGATCACTGCCGGTCATAGTGGCTTCGCTTTCGTCTTGGGTGTTGGAGGCCATCTCACCTGCCCTGTCATACATCTCTCGCATCAAATCCAGCCTCTGCCTGTTTCGCAAACATGAAGCACACAGGATGAATATCACAAGGTGGCATTAAAACCTTTCTTTGGGAACATTTACGATGCAAGACACTACCTTTTTTTTATTTATTGATTTAGAGTTTTTGAGACAGGGCCTTGCTATGTAGTTCAGACTGACCCTGAACTCACTATGTAGCCCAAGGTGGCCTTAAACTCATAGTGATCCTTCTGTCTCAACCTCCCCAGTGCTGGGATTACAGGTATGCAGCACCATGCCCAGAAAGACTTTATTTTTTAGAAAAAGCTGCCCCACTATTTCACATTATTAAGAACAAATGAAGGCCAAAACACTCAGTATCTTAGGTGTCTGAGTCTAGAGAGAAGCCACCAAAAGTCAACAATGGCCTTCTAAACCTCTAACAAGGCAACCAACCCAGGGGAAATGTAATTCAATGATCTGTGACATCTCAAATACGCTCAGACAATGGGAATTACCTCACCCTCCTAAATGCAAAGGAAGCTTGGTTATGACTTCCCTGTTTACTACTGGTCATCCTGAGGTCCAGGACAGAAAAGACAACTAGAATTAAGTTTCATGGAAGTGGGACATTTAGGAAGAATCTATAGAGAGCAAGTTTAAATTACTATGAATATCAAAGGTGTTGGGAGAGTGGGGATCACTCGCTTAGAAGAAAAAGGACACCAGTGCTACCATTGGTGGGCAACGGCATTCGGCATACAAAATCAAGCAACCCCATCCTTAGAGAGAGGAGAGCATGAGGGCGCCCAGGTGAGCAATGCATTATCACTTCCTAAGTAGCGCGGCCCGGGGGAGTGTCTTCATACTTAAGTTTCTCCAGAGACCAGTAATGTGTCGCTCCGTTCTTCAGATCCTGGACTTCCACGGCCACCACTGTGCGACGCAGGGGCCTGTCCTCATGAGTCTTGTCCATCTCGGTGGGAAGCAGCTCAGGCGGCAACGGGGAGTACAGTGTGTCAGTCAGCAGAACAAACTGGAACTGCACCTGAAGGGCAGAGTGAGCGTCAGATGGGAAAACCGCACCATTGCAGCAGGTAAGCTTCACAGGCAAGGCGGAGGCCTTGTGCCCAATAGGAAAGAGGTCAAATGTAGTATGTGCTCAACAAAGCTTGTGACCAACTAGGGAAAAAAGGCCACCTAGACATTAAACATGGGATAATCTTAATTTCAAATAATCCAAATTATGAATAAACCTACTTTCAAGCTAAACTACTCACAGATTTATTCAAATCCTATCATCTTGGAACAGAAAACAAAGTGGATGAAATGGCCTATACCAAAGTAGCATGTGCTTTGCTTGGTATTTCTTTTTTTTTTTGGTTTCTCTAGCCTTGCAAGATAACTTTGCGCAAACTAAAATCTCACTAAATATATTTTGGTTGAATGAATGAGGATTTCTGTGGAACTTCACAAGAGATTGAAAGGTGGACCCGAGCTTGCATTTCCAGTCCTTCACTAATGAGAGAGGAAGGAACACATAAGGTATTCCTTTATAAACTGAGAAAGGACATACTACTCTTGGAAGAGTTCCCTAAGGGCTGGTGTAGTAGGCCCAGCTCCCCAGGGAAAGGTGACTTTCAAGGTAAGGGTACAGGTGAACCCTCCCGGGCCCAGCGTTGCCTCCAGACGGCCAGTGTTCTACGCCTTCCATACCTTCTTCTTCAGCTCCACGCTGATGGCATTGGCCTCCTTCAGGTACACGGCATTGCCCCAGAGCAAGTCCCGTAAGGAAGTGAACTGGTGGGACTTCCACTTCCGGAAGGCCCACTGGGCCAACTCAAATTCATGCTGTGTCCAAGGAACTGAAAGAACGAACGAAGCATATTCAATAGTGAGCACGAAAGTGTAAGGAAACTGCACCCCTCCCTCTCCTAGCTCACCCATAACATTATTTCCCAGTTTTCCCTATTTATTTAAAACAGTGCATCAGACAAATAGATTTGCTCTTCATGTGTGTGTGTGTGTGCATGTTATGGGGGCATGAACCTAGGGCCTTTGAGCTGAGCTGCATCCCTAGCCTTTTTTATCATTTTGAGACAAGGCCTCCTATTTTTTCTTTATAATACAGGAATAAAAGGTCACGTTACTTAGCTATTTAAAAATAAGGAATTTAGTATATTAAGAGTCCCTTCGAAGTTCACTGGAAGCCTTGAGACCACTGGGAGGTGAAGCAGTAAATGAGGCGTGATGAATGCTCACACTGCAAGGTGGTAAGAGCAGTCAAGCCCGCACTTGGTTAGAAATGGGGAAACTTAAGACGGGCCAGCACGACAAGCGATGTTATCAGAAGTCGGCCAGGAATGGCTTTAAAATAGCCTGACGCATTCCAAAGGCTTTAATAGGGAATCTCTGGTACGAACTACAAATTGAACGGACTACCTTAACAATAATTACACTCCACGTTTATTTGAAATAAACACATGAACTTCATGCATACGGAAATAAGACACAGCACACATAAGCTTCCTGAGATCTCTACAGAGACTGAGCGAAGCCCTGCCCCATCTGCTAAACACACCTGGGTTCTCAGCATTGGGCATCTTTTACCTCATCTTTAAAGGGGCTCATCGCAAGGTCAATAGATGGTAGGGTAAGTGTGAGGAACCCAGCTGTGGTAACAGGCAAAGGATGAATCTGATAATACAGATGCAAAAGATACAAGGACAAGCTTTGGTCTCTGGATTTCACCTTCTTCCTCCTCTTCTTCCTCTTCAGTTGTTTCTGCAGCCAGGGATCGGGTCTCCACCTGCTTCTGCAAGGCCTGCAACTTACTCTCATAGTCCTGAGTGGAAAGAAAGGAGAGAACATGTAGGAGAGGGAGGAGGGAAGACGGAAGCACAGGAGGAATGAAAGGAATGGGGGGAAGCAGAGAAAGCAAAGGACAAAGGAAAGGAGGGAGAGGCAGGAAACAGTAAAAAGACATACAGAGAAATGCCGAGGACAGAAAAGACAAAGCACTCAAGATCATCTGTAATGGAGAAGGCAAAAAAATGTTACTGGCAGTTTCTCTGTATCAGCTCCCTCAAGGACCAGGGAGTTCTTTATTTGGGGTGATGGCAGGAGAAAGGAGGGACTGTGAGGAGAAACACACGTGTCCCTTACACATGAAGACAGACTAAGCAATACCCAGGAAGCAGCTGCAGAGAAAGACAGTATTGGAAAAGACTGAATTCCCCAGTACTGCCCCCAATCCCAGTGATCTGCTTGGAGGTGAAAGGAACTAGGACTGCAGACCGGAGTTTCCGTCAGTCAAATACTACTGTCTCTGGAGTAGAGGGTCAGTTTGGCCTTTGGGTAACTCAAACCTCCACAATACTACTGGACTGAAAGAACTTATATTACATTGTTATTCCAGAAGACTTTAAAAATATACTACCGTATTATAAAATGTGTTACTATATTACAAATCAGATCTACTCTTCATTTCTCTAGCTATTCCAGGCACCCTCCCCCGCTGTGCTGGGGACTGAACGGAGCTTGGGGCTTTAGCACTGAGCTACAGCCCCAGATCTTTTTACTTTTTGAAATTCTCAGACAGAGTCTTGCTGAGCTGTTAAGTTTCCCAGGCTGAGCTTGAACTTCTGACAAGCCTGTTTCAGCCTCCTGATGGCTGGGAGTACAGGTGTGCACCACCGTGCCCAGCTTGGCGCATTTTCAGTAAGAGCAGTATCACCTTGAAGGGGTAAAAAATGGTTCCTGGGTGATCAAAAAATTCTTGTTCTCTTATGTGTAAGGCTCAAAATAGGTGTACAGCTCTTAGATATGTATCGGAGGTATTATCATCTCATCATTGGAGAGATTAGGGAAAAACTGTCTAAAAAGATTATTTTTGGGGTGTTAATGGAAAAAAAGCTGGAATTTCAGTAAAAATAAGAGGTAAAAAAGAAGACCGTCTCGTGATGAAACATTAAATCACAGCATCAACACAGCATCCTAAGCTCTGCTACGCAGCTCCCTGGAATATTTTGTGTCAGAAAGGGTGGAAGAATTGAAAGACCCCTGGAGCCATTTTTTGGCTACAAGTCAGAATAACAACAGACAAATACACCAAGAGGGCAAAAAGAATTGGGTATAGAAAGAATCCGTGAGTTTGCAGTGATACTGAAAGGAGGAAAAAATGGAAAGCTCTTCTTTAAAACAAACAAATATAACATTCCTAATAAATGCAGAACTGGCCAGGGATATAGCTCAATGGCACAAGTGCTTGCCTGGCAAGCACAAGGTCCTGAGTTCAATTCCCAGTACCTCCCCAAAAAACCCTATAGAACTGTAGAACACCTGGAAGACCCCCACAGTACAACTTCCGATGTAAGTAAATCAGGCAAGGTACACACTACAGTTTCAGTAAAGACAAGGACTCTGAAGAAGGATAAAGAAAGGCAGGCATTAGGGGCTAACAGAAGAAAGGAACGGGAGACTTAGACGCTATCTATGGTCAGGAAGAGTCGAGGCAAGTACACTGCAGTCCTTTGGACAGGTGTGAGCTAAGCAAAGTAATATGGACAGTCACTACAAAGGCCCTGAGATGGACAGCAGCCAAGTGTGCTTAAGGGAAGCGAAAATCCTGTGTGGGTGGAGTGGCAGAGCAAGGACAAGGGTCAGGAGGCGCTGCTGACGGGTAGATAGGGACTGGATTATGGAAGGCGTCCAACCCTGGTAAGGACTGGGTTTTACCCTAAGGGAAGCCAGTAGGTGGTCTCATGTATACCTTACAAACCCCTCTCTCCACTGCTCGGGTAACTGTGGAGAGACCAGTTGTCAGGCTGCAGTGCCCAAGGCAGCTGGCATGGCCTGGCCCAGGTGTCACCAATAAAGAGATGAAAAGAGACTGGCACTGGGATGTGTTCTACAGGCAGAGGAAAAGGATCCTGCTGAAAATCTGATCCTGGGATGTGAGGAAAAAGGAGAAGTGGAGCATGACTTGGAGTTTTGGCCTGAGGGGCTGCGGTAGTTTAGTTTAAATGTGAGGTGCCTGCTGGCCTTCTGGATGTGAGGTCTTAGTTACAAGGCTGCATCGGGAGCTCAGGGCAGAGGCCCAAGCTAGAGTGGGAACACCTGAGTCAGCAGGGCAGCAGTGGGGACACAGGTTAATTCCCTGGGAGGGAACAGGCTCCCCCACTTAGTACCTGTGAGACTGGGAAAGTATGTAAAATGGAAATACCAACATCTACCTCACAGAAGAGGGGTGCTGTGCTGAGTGGATGACAGCAGAGTCTGCCAAAAACACAAAAAACAGGAAAAGAAAAATTTGTATCAATATTTTAATACTAAATTTATTGAGACAACATGAAATTATACGAATTACCTTTGGCCTCTATGATTACTAGGGGTGCTCAAAGTGGTGACCATTAGTTTCCAGACATTTATTACTATGGTGAACTAAAGTGTGTATACGTTTTTTGGCAAGCTCTGTACATGCTCGATTCGTGCGAGTTACTGTCGTTATCACCATAAAAACAAAGGCAAAGTCGCAGAAACGCATGGAATCATCTGCTGCAGCGGGTGGGGATCTAGAAAGAGCCGAAACAGTGGCCACAGAGACCGTGAAGGCGCAGCCAGTGAGGTGGGAAGAAGGCAAGCCGAGAGACAGCATGTCCTGAGAAGTAACAAGTGGCCGCTGTGGGAAGTGCAGGGGGTGGGGCTGACTGAGACTGATTTAGGAAGACGAAGGAGGAGAAAAGAACTCCTGGATTTGTCACCAGGAAGATCTTTAGTGACCCTGATGACAGCAGCTACAGTTGGCAAGTGAGAATAAGGTTCTGACTAGACGAGTTCAAGCAAGAACTAGAACAGGAGAAAGTAACAGGCCGGGAGGCAGACAAGTGGGAGGCAGCACAGGAAGCCCTCTCTGGGAGCGCTTCTAGGAGGAGGGACAGAACCAGCGTGCTGGCTCTAGGAGACATGGGGCATCTGTGACAGTGGTGAAATGAAGCCATCCTTGTATGCTGGCAGAAATAATCCAGGAAAGAAGCCGATGTGGAACAGAAGGGGTAAATAAACACACAGCAAGCCCCTGAGAAAGTATGGGCTGCAGGGAACAAGTGGCGCCAAGGGAGGAGCAAGGACAGCTCGCCCACTAACAAGAGGGATGGATGGGCCACGTTACGAACGAACACATGTGAAAGAGCACAAAGAGAGTTTTTTTCATTTTGCTGCACGCGCATGTGCACACCCACATGCCCCTAGTCATGCACCCAGAACTGGCGATTGAAACCAGGGCCCTCTCACTGAGCTATATCCCCAGATCTTTTAAATTCTGTACTCTGAGACAGCGTCTTGATAAACTGCTAAACTGCCCAGCCTGGGCTCAAACGTGCAGTCCTCCTACCTCAGCTTCCCAGGCTGCTGAGATTACAGGAGTGTACCACCACATATGGTTCTGATTTTGCTTCTCCTCAGTGAAACAAAATGGTTATCAGCTGGGAGGCACCTGCTGTGACCTTTCAGACTTCTCTGTATCTTTCCCTCCTGGCATCTGTCACCAAGTATTAAGTAACTGCCAGTGTGATTACCTCTCTAGTGGCTGTCTCCTTCACAACTGAACTTCACAAGGCCAGGAAACATATATCTGACACACAGCTATCTTCCACATCAGACACACAGTTCCCAAAGGGGACCATCTTCTAGATGAGGGGTTGGCAAGCCACGCCTTGGGCCAACCCACCAGCTGCTCTTGGGAACAGTTTTACTAGAAAGCAGCCGTCCCGGTTCATCTGCAGATTGCCCGTAACTGCTTGCTTGCTATGCTACCAGAGCAGAGATGAGATGTGACATCATGTGGCCTACAAAGCCTCAACGATTACTATTCGGCCTCTGATGGAAAATGCTTGCCAACCTCAGTTCTAGACCAATGGTTCTCAAAGGTGATTGCTTAGCCATCAGTATCACCTGGGATGCAAATGTCACGGCTCACTGCAGGCCTTGTGCTTGTGAATTAGAAACTACGGGAGGGCCCAGCAGTCTGTGTTCTCACAAGACCCCAGGGGCTCTGCCGCTCCTCACAGTCTGAGAACTGCTCTACAGATACAGATGCCTGGAGAACAAGACATGCAGTATTAACTCTGGGTTGTTTCCACTCTCACATGAAAACCAAAACCAGCCAATCACAGGTTATCATCACTAACACGGTGAGAGGTGATCTGGGGTGCACTGGGGCAGACAGAATGGGGTAGGGCTCGGACCTGGAAGAGTTAAGCATGACTGGGAAGGGAATGCAGTCAGGAGGACGTGCAAGAGCGCTGAGGAGTGAACAAACTGGCACATTCAAGAAACAAAGCAAGAGCATCTGCGGGGCAAGACACAAAGTCAGAGGCAGGCAAGCAGCCAAACAGGTAGAGCCTTGTAAGCAAAGGTAAGACCCCTATTTGTGAGAGCAGTGGGAAGCCTTTGAGGACACTGGCGGGATATGATCTATTTTAAAAAGAAATTCTGATTGCTAGGTGGACAGCGGGTTACAGGGGTCACAAATAGAAGCCAAGAGACAAGTTAGGCTACTTTAGTCCTCTAGGTGAGAGAACTGGTGGGACGAAGGCATCTCCGAGGGGTGACTAATGGTGATCACTGTCACCATTCTGAGTTTTGTTGTTAGGCTGTTTTTGATATTAGCAGGTTGCTCAAAACAGCAAATTGTAATTACCAAGCAATAGCCAGAAGGGAGCTATCCATACCCAAGAAGACACCAGTCCTGCCAAAACCTACATGTGGGGCTGGGGATTTAGCTCAGCGGCTAAAAGCGCCTGCCTGGCAAGCGCAAGGTCGTGAGTTTGGTTCCCGGTACCAGAG